AAGACAGTCCCGACAGTAAGCCTTATATGTATACGGATAGGGATGACCCAAAAGGGCCGGTTAGCCCATATGGGAGTGGGTTTACGGTGAGCCATACCCGTGCGATCGACTACTTTATATGGAGTATCGATAATAAGGGGAAATTCAGTACCAATTGGGTGTTGGATGAAGAGCCAGGTGTTGAGCTACCGGTGCATCGACTTAAACGAGTGGATATTGAGGCTGAGATGGGCTATTACGCTGATGAGCACCGGTATGATGGGCTGATGGATAGGTGCTATTATGTGGTCACGAATACCAGTGAGCCGTGGATTTGAATAAAAAGTTATATAATTACTGCACAAATGAATAATTAATTTATTGAATTCATGTTACTTTAAATACGAATAATTTATAATTACGATAATAAAGCAATATTTGAAAATAATTTTTGATTCATATAGTATTTAGTAATTAATTCATTAGAAGTTATAATACTAACTGTGTTTATAAACAATTCAATAATAATAAGATTTATTTATTCAGAATAGATGTCAAGAATTTATAGAAAAATGTGTTTTCATTGCCTTTCAGTATCTCTAGTGTTGACTCAAATTCCGTATGATTTGTGAGAATATTCCGATCGATGGACCACTCGTTATATGTTTGCAACACTTCATGACATTCCGGCCTTTTATACCAATTCAATGAAACCATTGCTGACAATACTTTGTATAATTCAGACACCGATGAGATAAATGTCGTATTATCTGTTGAATAAGGTTCCGGGCTATATAAACATAATTTATATAACAAGGTTTAGTATATTTAAAAATCTAGTTAATGTTAATTATATATTTATAAAAATTTTCATACTCATCAGCATCAATTAATGCCACATTAACGTCAAATACTTCGCTACCAATTAGGCCCAAACTATATATATCCGGTTTAATGCCATACTTCTCACCCCGAGCAACTTCCGGCGCCTGATACCTCAAGTCCCCGACATCTGCCGTATGTTTTTGTATAGTCCTGTAGTGAACCCGTTTGTCGTGAACTGTAGCCAAACCGAAGTCACATAACTTCACAAATCGACAGTTCCCTGCATTCGTGTCAATCAATATGTTGTCCGGTTTGAGGTCTCTGTGAATGATGGGTGGATCCAAACCATGCAAATGGTGAACGGCTTCTAAGATCTGTCGGAATTCACAATATTTACGTTCAATTTTGAGTTTTTCTAAATATTATCTACATTATCGTATTATGTGTTAAATTATCTACCAAATTGATAGAATACATGCCAAGATTTATAATGTTAATTTTTCCGTTAAATGTAGTCACATTGCAAAATCATAATTTTTAATTAAAGCCACAACGGGTATTATGATTAGATATGAAAGGAGATTCAGTGAGAATCTGGAAAATATAATTTATATTGTCCTGAGACCTCTGGTCAGACGGCAGTGGCCAATTGTAACGGGAAAAATTAACATTATAAATCATTGCATGTGTTGTATCAATTTGGAAGTGAAATTAACGCAGAATACGATAATGTAGATAATATTTAGAAAAACTCAAAATTGAACGTAAATATTGTGAATTTTCATATTATATACACTAAATTGGCGTTTTCGGCAATATAATTTAAGTTAACTAATGTTTTCGCATATAAAGCCATATATTGCAAATATGTCTAAATTCATTTACACAACATACACATCCTGTTACAAGTGTTTATCCTGTTCATATAATTTTTGAAATAATTTATTCAAATTATAATCACATGTTAGCGTTAAATAAATTGTATTTTAAAGCATAACCTATTCATCGATGTAACTAATGTTAAAAAGCCATTGAATACTGCATTGGATTTTCTAATTGAAGCTTTTCATGCAAATCTCACATAAGGGTCCATATATTCAAGATTTTGAATTTTATTATATGTATCATAGCGTGTGATTTACAACTAAATAATCAATTATATTGGTTTTGATTAAAATATCCTTGATAACTAAGTTTGTAATACGTGTAACTTATATACTATCCATTGGCTATTTATTACTCATAGCATGAATGTGTAGTGAAAATGTGCTCATAATTGTAATTCAATGGTTTCATTGAGACCACGTTTCAATCAATTGTGTGATTATTATAATAACATAATACTAATCATAATTTGATAACAAATTGATTTAACATTTATTGCGATAATTGCCAAATGGATACCAATTTGGAAACATTTCGTATTTGCGATAATATCGACGCAAATATGAAGCAAACGATTAAATTATTACATGTTTTCTACAAATCTGACGCATTGTTCGTAACCACCGATGATATGGTGTATAGGTTTGGAGATAATATCTATGGGTGTCTCGGGTTGGGCCCCAATGTGGTGGACGGCCTGTTTGTCAACGCGTTCATACAATCGCCACAAACTGTACCGGAATTATGTCATCAAAAGATCCGCACATTTATTAATGGATACCACTTTGTGTTGGCTATGAATAATGAGAACCATATCTACGGCTGGGGTGACAATAGATGGGGACAGTTGGGTAGAGATGTGACAAAATTCAATACCCGAGTTGCAGTTTATTCAAAACCCGAGAGAATATCGTATTTCGACGACAAAGATGTTCAACAAATCAGTTGTGGTTCCCATCACTCACTGGCCCTCACATCCAGTGGACAGGTGTATGGGTGGGGACGTCATCGAGGGGGAGAAGTAGGTTGTGGTGACAATCGTGTGGATATAATCTTTAAACCAATTCTCATAGAATTCCGGAATAACGCAAAAATGCAAACAATTTATTGCTGTAAACACCAATCATTTGCCATCACTTGCGATGGATTGGTGTTCAGTTGGGGTCATAAAAGTGGGGATCAATTGCATTGCGTATTCACACCACAAGTCATATCAACTCTCATTGGTATCAAAGCTATTGCCTCATCATATCGTATGACATATTTGCTGACAAACACTGGTTTCCTATACGAATGGGGCAATCAAATCGGCGACACCCCTATAAAACTGGAGTCGATTAATGGTCTGGATGAGTTACCCAAACATGACTCGAACCGCGTGTTTATTAATCCACCGGTAGTGTTAAAAAGGGGTAAAATATTCAAGATATCGGACACAAATGAATTGATTGAAACAAAGTATAATAATTTCATCGATTTCTACGCCAATGAATACCAAATGACATACAAAACGCTAACCATTGGAGGTGTGGTAACATCGAGTGAATGCAAAGCTATTGATAACACAATTGACACTCAATTGTCGCCACAATTGTCGGCACTTTCGCTGAGATGTGGGGAAACGTTTGACGAGTTGTCAGCCATAGGGTCGGGCGGTTTTGGGACAGTATATCAAATGAGACACAAAAATGATGGTCAGATATATGCGGTCAAAAAGATTGCAATTAAAGGTATTTTTAAATTACATGAAACTTTACGTTATTTTCATTTATATGTATTTTTACCCACATTTACGCAGTAAAAAAAGTGGGTTATCAAATCACTCTGTACCACCTCCCACCCCCACCCCACCCCACCTCCCCCACTCCGTCATTAATGACGCACTTTAGCACAATCCCATAGACTTTAACATGGGGTTTTCTAACAGTTTAGCCGTTAAGGACTTTGTTTTTTTCTATGGAAAATCCCAGCAAAAGTGGGCAAAAGTGTTTCCGATGACGTAATGACGCTGTGTTTTCACACCCATGTTAATCCTATGGGAAAATGGTGTATAATGATGGTGCATGACATGTGTGTCAAAAAATGTCGGTTGCGGAACAAAAAATCCCATAGCGTTAAGCGACAAATGGACATTGAGGGACATGTGGTCGACAAAGTACGACCAAAATTCACAAAAGTCCCATGTTACGTCTATGGACAAGGTGAACTATATCCCATATTAAACCTATGGCATGGATATACAGTTCCACAACAATGGTTTGAAAATTTGCAACATTTCTTGAAAATGCTAAAATTGCTTAAAAGTGTTTAATATCCCACTAACCCCAATTTTAAACCTATGAGTCTCCTTTCTTGCTCTCCAATATCTTGTACTCTCTTTTCAAGAATTTCCCTTTCCTAATCTCCCCTATCTTGCAATTTCCTTTCCAGCCTTCCCTTATCTTGAACTTTCATTTCTTGCACTCTACTATCAAACCTTTTCCTTTTCTGCCCTCCCATATTTTGCATTCTCCTTTCAAACCCTCCCTTATCTTGCATTCTATAATCGCTTTACTGTAAATGTGGGTTTCTATAGCATTGCTTTCAATCCTTGTTAAAAAATCATTTCAGAGTTTGATGAAACGGAAACTGAAAATGCGTTAAAAGAAGTGCAGAATTTGGTGAAAGTTAGCTCACAATATGTGGTCCAATACTACCACTCATGGCTTGAATACGGGTTTCTGTTCATACAAATGGAGTTATGTTCACAGAGTTTAACACAACTTCTTGAAGTCAAAGCACATGTATTTGAGAGACAATCGGGAGATCCCATGGATTTATACGAGTATTTCATTACTTGTGAAATATTCCGACAGATCTTAGAAGCCGTTCACCATTTGCATGGATTGGATCCACCCATCATTCACAGAGACCTCAAACCCGACAACATATTGATTGACACGAATGCAGGGAACGGCAGATTCATTAAGTTATGTGACTTCGGTTTGGCTACAGTTCACGACAAACGGGTTCACTACAGGACTATACAAAAACATACGGCAGATGTCGGGGACTTGAGGTATCAGGCGCCGGAAGTTGCTCGGGGTGAGAAGTATGGCATTAAACCGGATATATATAGTTTGGGCCTAATTGGTGGCGAAGTATTTGACGTTAATGTGGCATTAATTGATGCTGATGAGTATGAAAATTTTTATAAATATATAATTAACTTTTTTAGATATCTGTCCAGTGGATACCAAACCAACACATTGTGATATTTTTAGATATCGATAGTCATCGAAAAAGATTAATTATAATCCTTCATACTACGTGGTTATAGTCATAAATACTCAAACATAATGTGCTATATTGAACATGAAATCATATATTTGTATGAATAAGCAAGCTAAGTTTAAAATTTATGACTATAACCACGTAGTATGAAGGATTATAATTAATCTTTTTCGATTACTATCGATATCTAAAAATATCACAATGTGTTGGTTTGGTATCCACTGGACAGATATACTAAACCTTGTTATATGAATTATGTTTATATAGCCCGGAACCTTATTCAACAGATAATACGACATTTATCTCATCGGTGTCTGAATTATACAAAGTATTGTCAGCAATGGTTTCATTGAATTGGTATAAAAGGCCGGAATGTCATGAAGTGTTGCAAACATATAACGAGTGGTCCATCGATCGGAATATTCTCACAAATCATACGGAATTTGAGTCAACACTAGAGATACTGAAAGGCAATGAAAACACATTTTTCTATAAATTCTTGACATATATTCTGAATAAATAAATCTTATTATTATTGAATTGTTTATAAACACAGTTAGTATTATAACTTCTAATGAATTAATTACTAAATACTATATGAATCAAAAATTATTTTCAAATATTGCTTTATTATCGTAATTATAAATTATTCGTATTTAAAGTAACATGAATTCAATAAATTAATTATTCATTTGTGCAGTAATTATATAACTTTTTATTCAAATCCACGGCTCACTGGTATTCGTGACCACATAATAGCACCTATCCATCAGCCCATCATACCGGTGCTCATCAGCGTAATAGCCCATCTCAGCCTCAATATCCACTCGTTTAAGTCGATGCACCGGTAGCTCAACACCTGGCTCTTCATCCAACACCCAATTGGTACTGAATTTCCCCTTATTATCGATACTCCATATAAAGTAGTCGATCGCACGGGTATGGCTCACCGTAAACCCACTCCCATATGGGCTAACCGGCCCTTTTGGGTCATCCCTATCCGTATACATATAAGGCTTACTGTCGGGACTGTCTTTCGTGGGCTAATTCCAGCCGTAGTTCGGGTAGAAGTCGAGCGAACCTAACGGCGCTAACGTCCCGTAATAGGGGACAGCCTTCCCATCCGTATGTATGACATCCACGAGCTTTGCGTCCGTGTTCTGTAGCCTTACGTCAAAATTCTCGACCTGAAAGCCCGGCCCCGCCGGGTCTAAGCCGGTAATCCTGTCTATAAGAGCGCCGGGAGCTGACGCGCGACCGGCGGCTCCCATCAAGTGTGCGCCCAGACTGTGACCGACAGCCCATACGGCGACTGAGTCCTCGAAACGCCGCTTAATTGCCACGAAATACTGGGCCAACCATTGGCCGACTGCCAGCGCGTTAGCGGCCGCCTGTTCGTAGTTATAGAGGCTTAGGTCGGCCCCACCACCCCAGCCCACTATCACCACTGTCTGATCCCTTTCCCCAATCATGCGGTCTTTCATGAGGTGCAGCCATGGCTTGTGTTTGTCGGTCCGGAAGCCGTGCGCTATGAATACGACCCGTTTTGCGGGCAATAAGTCGTTGGCTATCATGAGGTCCACGGCTTGCGAGCCGTTTGTGTCGTAAGTGATGTCCAATTGGCGCCGATTCTGGCGATAGACTAGCAGTTCAGGTGCGATACGATCCATAGGCCAGGGATCTGGATGTGTGCCCAACCAGTAGGGCTGTTCAATAGGTCGTGGTTTGTGGAGTATATTACCCATGAGTTCGTGGATGAGGTATAGGAGTGTAATAAACATAAAGTTATTTTATAAGTAAAATAATGTTTGAAATTATTTATTATATACAGAAGTTTTTGTTGCAATTTATTTATAAACATTACATAAAGTCTTATATTATTTAATATAATAATAAGAAAAGTATGCTATTATCAGACTTTTGTGTAGGCTTATTAGCGTAGTGTTTATATTAGTTATCAAGGTATTTTATCAGTAGCTCTCATAATGTCAGCGATTAGATAATAGCGAGTAATTAGTTTTAATGATGTCATTACGCAAATATTTATTTTGATTACTAGCCAGCAAGTTTTACTTATATTTATGTGTTAAAAGGTAATTGTGGTTGGAAAAATTATTTTGTTAATATAGCAAAACAATATTGTTAATTAATTCAGCATGCAAATTGTAAAAACAATTTTAATACATATAATAAATTTTACTAAAAATAATTTACATAACTATTTTTGTATAGAAATATTCAACAATTATTACAAAATATTTTTGCATATAAAGCCATATGTTGCAAATAAGTCTAAATTAATTTACACAACGTACACATCCTGTTACAAATGTTTATCCTGTTTATACACAGACACAGACACACAGACTGTGACCACAACCACATTATCACCACATTTGGCATCAAAGCGAGTGATACCGTGAAGTGAAGCGCAATGCCTGCACCAGTGGTGGCCGAGGAGGTGAATGGGGCGCCAGTGGTGCCGAAGACAGAGCTGGAAGAGTTGCAAATGAAGGCCAATTCGGCGACCGATGACTCGCTGAAGTCGACGCGACGGATGGTAGCTCTTTGTGATGAGTCGAAGGAGGCGGGCATCCAGACACTCGTGGCCCTCGACAAACAAGGCAAACAACTGAACCGCATCGAGGAGGACATGGATAAGATCAACACTGACACGAAGGAGGCCGAGAAGAACCTGACGGGGATGGAGAAGTGCTGCGGGCTCTGTTTCTGTCCGTGCGGTAAGTCCAAGGAGTTCAAGGAGGACGCGGGCACTTGGAAGTCGTCGGGCGATGGCGTGGTGTTGGGACAGCCGGCCGCTCGTGTGGTGGACGAGCGCAACGGTGGAGGCATTATCTCCACGCAATACATCGTGCGGATCACCGGCGACGCGCGCGAAGACGAGATGGAGGACAACTTGGGACAGGTGTCCACTATGATCGGGAACCTGAGGAATATGGCCATCGATATGGGACAGGAGATCGGCTCTCAGAACCAACAGTTAGATCGAATAAATGAGAAGGCGGAGTCCAATAAGAGCCGAATACAAGGCGCCAACGAAAGGGCGCAGAAACTCCTCAAATAACGGCACATCCGGTCATCGCTTCCATCTCCCCATCCATTACACGCATCTGTTTTCTATAAAGGCGTCCAATTGTCCAATCAATTGGATATCAGGCTTAGAGAGACTCAACATTTTAATACTTTTAAAACCAAATGAATTCTACTTTTTAAATAAATTTTATTGTATTTTTATTATATATTTATAAGTTATAAAGAGATTGTGTAAAGAACATCACCATTAATTAGATGAATACATGTCTCTATAAATAAACTGAAACTTATATATAATTTTTGAAAAAATTTATTCAAATTATAATCATAAGTTAGCGTTAAATAAATGGCATTTTAATGCATAACCTATTCATCGATGTAACTAATGTTAAAAAGCCATTGAATTCTGCATTGGATTTTCTAATTGAAGCTTTTCATGAAAATCTCACAAGGTTCATACGATAGGCTTTTTAGATAAAAATTACCTAGTTTATGGGACACCGTTGCCATCAATAGTTAATCTCTACATTTAGTATTCACCGGTATTATAAATATAGCCACTAAAAATGTAATTATGAACGGGATGAATTTTTGAATGCAAATAATATCCTACATATATTTTGACTCAAGCATACTTAATAGGATATGTAATACAAGCATACCTACATTTTGACATTTTAAATTATAAATAATATATTAAATTATAAAGATGCTAAACTACCCTTGCCAATGGGAATGTACTGATACGTTTAGATGGGTGTATAGGTGAAAAAGGTTAGGACAGGTATGTGAACATAAAAATCGTAATTACACTTCACTTGTAATCATCGCTAGTGTTACATAAAATATACAATATATTGACTAATGTGTGAAAATAATTTGTATTTTGTTGCCTACTGTTCCCCGCAATAGTATTCTCACCCAAACCTACTGTTCCATCTCCTCATCCCCGGACTGATCCATATCCTGAAACTCCTGCTCCATATAGTCGTCCAATTGTGTTTTTAAGCTATTATTGAAAATTATTTGAAAAGTTAGGTAAATGTCACACTATTGTGAGGTTTTACAATAATCCTATACCCGCGCCAATGGTATGGGTAAGTACTGAAACTGGTGTTCATTTGGGTAAAAAATAAGTTAGGACAGGTATATAAATTACATTTCACTGGTAATCAGCACTAGTTTTACATAAAATATTTTGACATTAATTTTTCAAACATAATGTTAATTTAATTGTATTGTAATAGTGTTAATGATTAACAATAACACTATTTAACAAAACAAACAAATTATGAATAATTTATATGTCACTGCAATTAAATCAATTTTTATTTAAATTTTTCAAACAACCTAGGTAACAGTATCTAAAATCATTAATCATAAAACTAGTCTCTCAATATTATCATTGAATTAATAAAATAATGTGTAAATTAATTTATAAAATATACAATATTTACAAAATTTAATTTTTACTCTCATTTCAACTTTAATGCCAGACTTGTGGTGGACTTATAAATCCAATGCTAATCCAAATCGGAGCTAATCCAGAGGTTTGGTCGGATCTGTGGTAACGCTAACCAGAGATCCATCACCAACTCGTATAGTCTATTACCGATCGACAACTTCATCCATAGCTCCGGTCTCTGGTCAGCGATGGCCACGAATGGCACATACGAGTGGACAGTCACCGACTCGTCCGACTCCTCGGCCTCAAAACACAGTCTTTTCAGTGTCGGCCGAGTCGTACACAACACTCGGACGGCATCGATGGCACCGGTAGTGAAGGTAGCCTTTAGACTCAGCGCATACATGTTTGGACAGCCGTTCAGCTGCTGTATGGCATCGGCGC